TCTACTTCACCAGTACATTATATCTCTACTGCCCCACTGCATCATATCTCTACTTCACCAGTACATTAAAACTCCTCCAACCAAGACGTGCCCATAACGCAAAAAACTAGAAGCCCGTCCACTGACCGCCAAGAATATCCGTAACCCGTGGGGCCTGTTTTAATTTTTTTTTTTTTTTTTTTTAAAGATTCGATACCACATTCTTCATGACGTTATCGATTTTAAAATAATTTTATGGCATCGCCTTTGCAACAGGGCGACAGATCGAAGGCGCGACTATGTCAAACACCCGTGGTGGGGAAACTTGCGAGGCGATTTGATTTACAGGGGATTTACACGTTGTCGCATAGAATTTACGTCAACATGCCGTTGTAAACCTGACTTGTGATCTGACCTCGCCTGGGAACTTTACATGTTAGCCCACGGGATGACAACTAACTATGGGGATTCGATTTTTACCTGGTTCCTTGTTCTAAGTTCCATGTAAACGGAGCCATGAAATGCGAGTCTATCAGTATTCGGTGTTTTATTATAATGTGCTTACTTGTAATATACATTTTATAGTGAACTGAATTCCTTTTAGATTTTAGCGTTCGTCTAAAAAAAAAACAGAAAAAAAAAAAGTCCATGAAAATATTCCGTTAATCAAGTCTATCAGTATTCGGTGTTTTATTATAATGTGCTTACTTGTAATATACATTTTATAGTGAACTGAATTCCTTTTAGATTTTAGCGTTCGTCTAAAAAAAAAACAGAAAAAAAAAAAAGTCCATGAAAATATTCCGTTAATCATGAGGAAAAGATTGAATAAAATCTAAATCCGTGAACCAGGAAATTTGATTCTCCGGGCAATAAAATTTTGTTTTTCAGGGCCTAAAAAAAAAAAGAGTTGTTTACCGCTGTTACGGGGGAGCTTGCTTTTTTTTACGGTGTAACTTTTTATGTGCACAGTGATTTTTTTTTATTGGTGCACTTGGACATCTTTATGGGCTACACGCACAGAGATTCACATTGTGCCCGAATACATTAAAAACAAATACCGTGTTAAAATTTCTCGGTTGTGGGGTTTCTAAACAATGTGATTGTTTTGTATTGAAGTTTGGAGTTTGACCATAACGCGTTGAGTCTACCTGGACAGTGCTTCTCAAACGTTGTTGTTTTTTTAGGTTTGACGCACCCGCTGGAATTGTTCACATTGCAGAAGGGGCGTGGCCATGTTTTCTTTTTGTTTTATTGCCACCCTCTGTAGGTGGTGACTCTGATTTTTGGAGGAACTCTCCCCGTAAGAAGAACCACTGCTCTGAGGAACACAGCTGCAAGATACATCCATAATATTATACAGGACCATTGCATATTATATCACTCTTATATTCAGTAAATCTACTTTTTGTAGAACATAGCCACACCATCTATATGGGACTGCTCCTCACATGGGATATCCACAATTATAAATGTCTACAGCCAAACGAGATATTTAATGTAATAATCACGGGGGCTACAGCACGCGGCCTTGACATTGGAGGATTTATAAAAACAATGGAGTAGATCGATTGATTTCCAATATGTAGAAGACATAAGGTAAGACAACTCTTTGTGTCCCCCATGTTAGTCACTGTTAGGGGCTGTGCACAATGTCCCACCACCAATAAGATTTGTTTCTGATGTTTGTGTGGTACAATTGTGTGGTACAATTGTGTGGTAAAATTGTGTGGTTTATGACGTTGTTTGGTACAATTTACACGTTTCTGGTGTTTATATTATACAATTGTGTGGTTTCTTACGTTGTGTGGTACAATTGTCTGGTTTCTGATGTTTGTGTGGTACACATGTGTGGTTTCTGATGTTTGTTTGGTACGATTGTCTGGTTTCTGACGTCTGTATGGTACAATCGTTCTATCGTCGTACGTCGGTGAGATTATTATTATTTCTTTTTTAAAGAGTTCCAGAGATATTTTACAAGTCACTTTTGAACAGTTGATCATACGAAATGGAATCAACCCCCCCCCCTTTTTTTTCATTAACCCCCCCCTTTTTTTTTCTTAACCCCCCCCCCCCCCCGGGGCCGCAACACTAAATTCTCAATCGATATTTCCGAGATCAGAAGTCAGCACGGATCTCTATAATAGTCGTAGGAGCCATATAAAAGCACCGACTGTACATTAAGAACCGTCTTGTTGATCAACGAACCTATAGGCACGCTTCATCGAGTGCTTGAATGAGATCTCAGAGCGACGTCACCCGGTCTGTGTGCCTAAGGGTCGGCCGACAGAAAGGATGAATTGTTAGGTGTTGAGTTTTAATTAGCTCAGACGGCTTTTTAAATATTTGTTCAAAGTCGACTTATTTAAAATAGTTTATGTTCAGTGGCCCTCGTCCGGCCTAAATGAGGCCACACATTTTAATAACCATAAACGATCGAATTAAATTATTCGATCGTTAACACCGTCAAAGTTCTCGAAATATGAATTAAAAGTGCATTTATACATGCATAGCGTGTATATTTATAAAATGTAGATTTATTTTATATTAATAAATAGTTTTTTTTTGTTTTTTTTAAACTGTTTTTTTTTTTTACAATGTAAGTTCGTTTATCCTTTCGAGTTCAAGCAAGACATGGGCATTTGGACGGGTGGACACAGCACAAAATACTTCGGGAACTTTTCATTCAACTTTTCATTCCTAACACATTTAAAGGACTGTTCATTTTTCTAAAGAGCCCAAATCAACGCGGTTTGAGCCGTGTTCTTGGCCTCCCACTCCACTATACAAACATTAAGGAACTTTCGCAGGCGCCCCGCGGCACTAAGAAGGATTGGCCACTTTCACTGGCACTCACAGTACTAGGAATTTAAGGAGATGGCCACATTCACGGCTAATCACAGTATTTAATCCCAGTGCAGTTATCACAAAAATAAAACTTTAAGAATCTCTATTAAAAAAAAAAAAAAATAAAAAAAAATAAATATACAAGCCAATAATTCCGTTGTGTATTTAATACATTGATCTCACCCCCCAGGTTAATGGCTATCGATGTAATCACTCATCTGGTGATCGATACATGATTAGACATTCTGTCTCCATCGATCATTTTATTCCCAGCCCCCCCACCTCACCACCCCCCCCCACCCACAAACCGTTTCAACATAAAACCAATAACCCCCATTGCAGCTCTTTCCCTCAACTACAATCATCATACTCCCACATTTTTAAAGAAATTAAGACACGATTTTATTTGTATACTTTTTTCAAAAATCGTGTACATCGACCCCCCCCCCCTCACCCCCCCCCCCCCACCCACAAACCGTTTCAACATAAAACCAATAACCCCCATTGCAGCTCTTTCCCTCATTAACATATGTCCTTCGCCCTTCATATGAAGGCGTTCTTCTTAGATGACATAATAGCAGTGGTGTTGTGTTCGATAAAGAGACTTCTTTCGGTTAGTCAACTTTTAGGTAAATATTATCCAATAAGTTTACTCGGTACATGACAGCCCACATGATAACCCACATGATACCCACATGAAAACCCACATGATAACTCCCGTGATAACCCACATCGAAACCCACACGAAAACCCACACGATAACCCACATGATAATCCCACATGATAACCTTAATGATTGAGCACATGGTAACCCCACATGATAACCCCCATGATAACCCACATGAGAACCCCCATGATAACCCACATGATAACCCACATGATAACCCGCATGAAAACTCACATGATAATCCCCGTGATAACCCACGTGCTAACCCACTTTATAACTCACGTGATAACCCATATGATAACCCATGTGATAAACAACGTAATAACCCATATGATGACCTGAATGATTACTCACATGATAATCCACATGATAACCCCAAATGATAATACATATAATAACCCATATGATAACCCATGTGATAAACCACGTGATAACCCATACGATGACCTGAATGATTACACACATGATAATCCACATGATAACCCCAAATGATAACCCATATGATAACCCATATGATAACCCATATGATAACCCACATGATGACACACATGATGACCCATATGATGACCCATATGATACATTATTCAAAAAATGAAAACAATGTAAGTTAAAAAACGAGCTAAAAATTAGTTACACTAACAAAGACCATTACAACAAATGCGAATCTGATTATTTACCTACCTTACACAACAATCACATATCATTTTCAAAACAAATCATTCTGTAACTTTGTTAACCCCCCTCCCCCAAAGTCCATATCCATCCACATACCTACCCATCTACTTTGCTAACCACCCACCCACCCATCTACCCAGCCACATCGCCACCTACCCGCTTACAAATCCCAGCTGGCTAGCCCACACTCACCTTCCTGTGGACCTATACACCCTACCTACAAACTCACCCATCGGCCAACCCACCTACCCGCTTACAAACCCCAGCTGTCTACCTCACACTCACCTTCTTATGGACCAATACACCCTACCTACAAACTCACCCATCAGCCAACCCACCTACCCTCTTATAAACCCCAGCTGTCTACCTCACACTCACCTTCTTATGGACCTATACACCCTACCTACAAACTCACCCATCAGCCAACCCACCTACCCTCTTATAAACCCCAGTTGTCTACCTCACACTCACCTTATTATGGACCTATACACCCTACCTACAAACTCACCCATCAGCCAACCCACCTACCCTCTTATAAACACCAGCTGTCTACCTCACACTCACCTTCTTATGGACCTATACACCCTACCTACAAACTCACCCATCAGCCAACCCACGTAACTACCCATAACGCTTGACTTCAAATTCGTCAACAATCGACTTCTTAGTTCTGAGAAAGAAAGGAAAACAAACCAAAAAAACCTCAGAATTTCCCGAATGCTTTCTTCTGACACGTGATTCCCCTCCTTGCACCGAACCCACACCAAATCCCACTCGGATCCAGATGTTTAAATATCGCTACATTATCAATCGGCCTGCTCGGATTGCGGCGCTGAAGACTTGACGACAAATGAGGCCGGAGTGGGCCGAGGCATGTCATGGCGATCTGCACAGTTTGTTGATACTGCGACTGATCCAGTTTTTGCAAGTTCAGATTAGGGTGGCATAATGAACGCGGGCGTCAGTTGTGCGGCCGTAATGAACGCGGCGTCTGGTGTGCAATGGTGTGTATGTAGTCCTTGCTTTTCTTATTATTACTATTGTGAAAAGTAAAAATTGTTTTAAAAATTTTATTTTTAAAAAATAGGAAAATTTCGTGTAATTTAAGTACCATTTCATGATATTTTTTTTAAACGGCCCCTTGAGGTGGTACCAGAAAGTAGAAAGTAGAAACTCACTGTGATTTATAATTATTGTATGACGTACGTAGGGTTAGTCCTGTGCTATATTTACGGCTAGTGATTTAGGTACGTATACAATCTGCTATTGTTGTAGATACGCTTAACATATGCTTAATTTAATGGATATGTATGATATGTTTGTTTATAAAAGTGGGAATATCATACACTACAGCATAAGTTTAGTATAAAGTAGTTATTAGATAGTGGAGTTGGTGCGCTCTTCAAGTTTCCCTGGTTACTGAGGGTGTTGTTGATAAAGCTCATGATGTTGTAGTTGATAATTTCGTTGATAATATTGATTAAGTGGTTGAAGCTTTTTTTTTTTTTAAAATATTTTTATACCGTTGAATTTTCTGTTGGTGTTGATGATGCCAGTGGGTGGTGGTGTTGATGATGCCAGTGTGTGGTGGTGTTGATGATGTTTGATGTCTGTTTGATGCCGCTGACGCTACCGTCGGTGAGGTTTTCCATGATATCGTGTTAGTCTACAGCCGCCACGGTGGTGCGGCTCTGTTTTCAACATCGGTCCGCCTGGCCGTCTAAACAGCACAATCGCAGACTGTTCGAATTCCAGATAGGTGCTTGTACAAAGTCAATCAGCCGTGACGAGGCACGTAAGTGAAACGTCTCCATTGTGGTACCGTAGGTTAGGCCGCAGGTCAGCGGTCCTCACATTTTCTGATCAAACTAATAGGATCAGTGTGGGGGGGGGGTTCTTTTTATAAGTTAAGAAATGTAAATCTTGACAACTGAGACCCCGTGTTTGTCAACGTGTGCTGTTTCAAACATCGCTAGAGGGTTCCATTTATTCAAACACGCTTTCAGAGAAGGTTCCATCGGTCAAAGTTTAGCGACCCCCCCCCCCGATCTCAATCAACACATCTTCAAGTGTGTAAACTGCTCTCTTGTTTTCAATGAGTGACGTACTTAAAACGGTCTTCAAACGGTCTTTCGGGTTTTACTGCTTTGATAGTGTTTAACAGTGATAGACATCTTAGTGTTTCAAGGGCAGTTCGGGACCAAGCAAGCAAGGAATCTCAACGCCTAATATGTTGCATGTTGACAGCGATGCATTTACAAATACGTCCTTAGATATTCTAAAAAACTAATTGGTCGTTCGGTGACCATGTGTTATGTTGAGTCCCTGTAGCATCCCCCCTGCCTTAAGCACACACTCCACGGTGTGACAAATACAAGAAATCTAAACCGACTGTTATTGTAATAACATACGCGTTATATTCTATAACGTATAGACGACCGAGTATTCGTTTGTGGACATTTTTCTGGGGGGCCAGAGGCGGAAATAGGGAAGTTGCTCTTCGGAAGGCGTATGGTATTGATGAGGTTTTTACTTGACTTGAGTTTGCTGTTGGTCTTGGCTTGACTGTTTCGTTGATCGTCATGGCAACTGTAAGCCGTGCATGCGTGTAAGCGTTTTTTGGGGAAAAAGGTAAATGTTAATCAGAATTGGTGTGTATTTCATTATATTTTTAATGTAACTGTTTCATGTACAGAATCACGAAGCCAGACTGGCAAGGAAGATGACAGCTACCCCTACTATGGCCAGATTTCCCCAGATTGGCCGTCAAAATGTCAACTTTGTAAGAAAGCAAAGACCGCACAGGGATGTCGTGCGACAAAGCCTGCCCCACATCGGTAGTTGTTATAATTTTTATACTCTTTAAAAATAGATTTCTATAACACGGACTCATTTGTGGTATGCCTAAATAATTTTAAAAGCAGTATCTGAAGTTTAAAAAAAAAAAAAAATATTTACAAATTTTGTAAACCTTGATTCGTTGTTCCCTACCCTAAAAAAACCAGGTAAATACGTCATAGACACTCCAAGAGATGAGTTTCTGGACTGGAGACAGCAGTACTTTCGGTATCATGAGTCTAACAGGGGCGTCCTGCGCAGAAAGGTGAGGTGAACGTAAGATAGTGATGGGAGGTTCTAGGGGCGTACTTTTCTCTGGGGCATGAAGTTTGCTAGTGGGGTGTTACGGGAACGCACAACTCACTGGGAGTCGGAGTGTGCTAGTGGGGTGATACAGAGACGCACCACTCACTGGGAGTCGGAGTGTTCTTGTGGGGTGATACAGGAACGCACTACTCACTGGGTGTTGGAGTGTGCTAGTGGGGTGATACAGAGACGCACCACTCATTGGGAGTTGGAGTGTGCTAGTGGGGTGATACAGAGACGCACTACTCACTGGGAGTTGGAGTGTGCTAGTGGGGTGATACAGAGACGCACCTCTCACTGAGATTTGGAGTGTGCTAGTGGGGTGATACAGAGACGCACTACTCACTGAGAGTTGGAGTGTGCTAGTGGGGTGATACAGAGACGCACCACTCACTGGGAGTTGGAGGGTGCTAGTGGGGTGATACAGAGACGCACCTCTCACTGAGAGCTGGAGTGAGCTAGTGGGGTGATACAGAGACGCACCTCTCACTGAGAGTTGGAGTGTGCTAGTGGGGTGATACAGAGACGCACTACTCACTGGGAGTTGGAGTGTGCTAGTGGGGTGATACAGAGACGCACCTCTCACTGTGAGTTGGAGTGTGCTAGTGGGGTGATACAGAGACGCACCACTCACTGGGAGTTGGAGTGTGCTAGTGGGGTGATACAGAGACGCACCACTCATTGGGAGTTGGAGTGTGCTAGTGGGCTGATACAGAGACGCACTACTCACTGGGAGTTGGAGTGTGCTAGTGGGGTGATACAGAGACGCACCTCTCACTGAGAGTTGGAGTGTGCTAGTGGGGTGATACAGAGACGCACTACTCACTGAGAGTTGGAGTGTGCTAGTGGGGTGATACAGAGACGCACCACTCACTGGGAGTTGGAGTGTGCTAGTGGGGTGATACAGAGACGCACCTCTCACTGAGAGTTGGAGTGTGCTAGTGGGGTGATACAGAGACGCACTACTCACTGGGAGTTGGAGTGTGCTAGTGGGGTGATACAGAGACGCACCTCTCACTGAGAGTTGGAGTGTGCTAGTGGGGTGATACAGAGACGCACTACTCACTGGGAGTTGGAGTGTGCTAGTGGGGTGATACAGAGACGCACCACTCACTGTGAGTTGGAGTGTGCTAGTGGGGTGATACAGAGACGCACCACTCACTGGGAGTTGGAGTGTGCTAGTGGGGTGATACAGAGACGCACCACTCACTGAGAGTTGGAGTGTGCTAGTGGGGTGATACAGAGACGCACCACTCACTGAGAGTTGGAGTGTGCTAGTGGGGTGATACAGAGACGCGCCACTCACTGGGAGTTGGAGTGTGCTAGTGGGGTGATACAGAGACGCACCTCTCACTGAGAGTTGGAGTGTGCTAGTGGGGTGATACAGAGACGCACCACTCACTGGGAGTTGGAGTGTGCTAGTGGGGTGATACAGCAAAACGCAAAAAGTCGCATGCATGAACGTGTGTGGTTGGGGTGCTGGCTGTGGAGCTGGTTGGGGAGCCGACTGATTTGGTAGGTTGGGAATCTGGCTGACTTAGTTGGTTGGGGGCCTGACCAACTTATTTGTTTGTTTTGCTCGTGATTGCAGAGGCTAAACCGGCATGGCTTTTTGACGCAGGAGATCGACATTTTCTGACGTAGAGAGTTAGGGATTAGATTCAGATCGAATGACGTCAATTTGATTTACCCCCCCCCCCCACCAAGTCTTGGTCAACAGGCTTATCATTTAAATAAAAGGATGTTCTGTCAGACGTTTCTAACCTCTACAGATTGAATCACTGCCCGAGGTCCCTAAACGCTGGGATATGCGAACCACCCACTCGATACCACACAAAGACCTCAGGGAAACAGTCGCAAGTCCGACCACAAATCCGACCATAAGCCATGCCGACCCTCGGACGGCTGAGTCCAGTGAAATTGTATCGGATAAGGGATCTGACCTTGACAAGTTCTCTGACCCGGAAACGATTTTACGAATGGAAAGACAGGTATTTAGCAATGAGTGATTATTAGATCTTTTAAATATATGTTGCTTCTGGTGTGGCTGCTTCATTTTAACAACCGGCCTTCGACCTACTCAAACCGTTTTATATTAATGGTACTGAGGGAATCAATAAAGAGCCACGGCCATGGCGTAGGACTGTCTGTAGGACAATCGTTTAAACACTGGCAGTTAGGGTGTAGGACTGCCTGTAGGCCAACAGTTTAAAGGCCGGCAGGTAGGGTGCAGGACTGCCTGTAAGCCTATTGTTTTAAGGCCGACATCCAGGATGTAGGACTGCCTGTAAGCCTATTGTTTTAAGACTGACAGGTAGGATGTAGGACTATCTTTAAACCATATTGTTTTAAGGCCGACATCCAGGATGTAGGACTGCCTGTAAGCCTATAAGTTAACTCTTTTTTTTTTTTTGTAACACTTGGATCAACCCGGGTATTTTCTCATCATGCCCGGACACGGTGTAAACAACTGCACCCGGTTAAGCCCCTAGTGTGTAGTACATTATATTTGAATAACAGTTCTTGTATTCGCCATTTCCTTGTTCTTTTAAGCTCTGACATTTTCCAATAACTATTTAACAACTGATGTTTTTGTACATGGGTGAAATGCATGGCATTATTGTTTGGATGTGGGGCTTTTTTTGTGGTTTAACTAATGGGGGAGTGGGTTTTAGGAATTTTTCATGGATGGGGGAAAATCTATAAATGACGTTACACACATTTTTTTTTCTTCTTTCAAGTTGCCAGAAAATTACAACACTAATTGTAACACGAATAAGACACTTTAAAAACACGACTTCACAAATTCGTTGATTCCCCCTCTACCAACTCCCTCCTTCCCCGCCCCCTCCCCACTCCGCTGCGTGACGTCGTTTATGAATGGCCCCTTGACTGAGTGGGCATCTAACACTAGTAACTGGTAGATTCTCTTCCCAACGAATATGCCCCCCCCCCCTCCCCCACGCCCCACCAGACCATCGTCGCCGCAGCCCATCTTTTGGAATGTTGATACATGCCCCCTTCCCCAAAGACATTGGACATCCTCAACGAGCTTCGCGAACGTTCCCTACTCGCCCAATGTGTGACTATGAGAATCACATTGGGTTTTTAAAAAAAAATAAAGATTACTGATATTAACTTATAAAATGAACAGTGCCAATAACTCCTTTCAAGTTGAAATGTTGTACGCCCCTGTGTGTAAGATTTGATAGACAAATAGCACAGTTAAAAATACAATTATTGTATAGTAATTGTTTTAACATAACATATAGCGGGCATATAGGGTTCAGTAGTGTAGTGGTTATCACGCTCGCCTCACACGCGAGAGGTCCTGGGTTCAATCCCCAGCTGAACCATATTTAATTTTTTTTATGATTGGACATTTTCCCGAAAATAGTTTGACACTTGCAAAAAAGTAGCTTTTACTTTCCTTAACGTTAAATATCGCAGTAATGCATACAAAACTTTCTTATTTTAAATATCGGAGAATGGTTTCTCACCCTCCAACCCTAATTATGAATAGATATTAGTTTGAATAATAAGTGATTCGCTAAACAATGTTTGTTTCTTTGACGTTAAAACATCTCAGTAATGCATTTCCAATCTTTCACAGATGACGTCCCAAAAGTTTACCACCAAGCAGAGGAATTTCTCACGGAACAATCCTGTAAATAACATGCTCCATTGCAATTTATCCTGGAGCTCATCTCCGCATGATGATCCCAGGGCGTTGTCGCTAGAAAGAACGCACCCTGCTATCAGCAGACGACAGCCGAGCCTCGACACCGACACCGGCCACCACACCGAAAATGAAAATGAAATCGCACACAAAAACCACCATCTTGAAAACTTCAGCACCGCTGTCGTTGAAAATTTAACAGATCCCGAGTCCAGACGCCGAATGAATCCAGCGCGTACGTCCCGTCGCCCCGGTGCTGGTACGTCATATCCTTCCGAGGATCTGTCACATCATCCCGGGTACTCTAACGTTATAAATATCAAACACCCCAGAAGTGAGAGACGCATGGCCAGGCGTCACGTGGACACTTGTGTTGTAAAACATTTTCATCGTGTGTCATTTTCAACTAAGAATATCGGGCCGAGCAGCAAGAACAGCGTTGGTTCAAGGAATATGAGACTTGGGGAAATTCTCAAGAGCAACAAGGCTGCACCGAGCCCAAACGGAAATGGAAAATTCGCGCGACGTGTTCTCGGGATGAGCACGTGGCCGGACGAGAGTAGCGCTGGTCCCGAGAACAGAGATGGCGCCTCGACGGAGGATGATGGTGGCGACAACGAGGACGAAATGTGGCTGAACGTGGTGAACACTCCACTTGTGGATAAAAGAATTTACGACCGCTACGCGAATGTCAAACTGTTGCCTATAAAAAAATAAAACAAAATGTCAAATCCTCAAGGATTTTCCGCAATCTGGTGAATATAATGGTGGAATCAAATTGAGTTATTCCATCTGGTGAATGTAATGGTGAATTAAAATAATTTATTCCATCTGGTGAATGTAATTGTGAAATCATAATGAGTTATTCCATCTGGTGAATGTGATGGTGAAATCGCAACGCGTCAATTCCATCTGGTGAATGTAATGATGAAATAACAATGAGTTTTTTCATGTGGTGAATGTAACTGTGAAATAACATTGAGTTGTTTCTATGTGGTGAATGTAATGGTGGAATCACAACGAGTTATTCCATCTGGTGAATGTAATGGTGAAATCACAACGAGTTATTCCATCTGGTGAATGTAATGGTGAAATCACAACGAGTTATTCCATCTGGTGAATGTAATGGTGAAATCACAACGAGTTATTCCATATGGTGAATGTGATGGTGAAATCACAACGAGTTATTCCATATGGTGAATGTGATGGTGAAATCACAACGAGTTATTCCATCTGGTGAATGTAATGGTGAAATCACAACCGGTTATTCCATATGGTGAATGTGATGGTGAAATCACAACGAGTTATTTCATCTGGTGAATTTAGTGGGTCGTCTAATTTTTGCATAGATCGTTTTTGTTGATTTACTACATGTTAGTGTTATTGGCTTCACGTTTTCAACTTTAGTATTTGCGGGCAAGACGGATAAGCATCGGGGTCGTTCGCAATTACGTCACCGTCGGGGGGGGGGGGAGGCGGGGGGTAAAAAATTTGTGACGTCAATATTTTAATTTTGTTAACATTTAATTATTAAACCGTTGTGGTCATTTTACAATCGGCTTGTGGATGACTTCGTTGTTTCGCGTCACAGATTTCTATTAATACTTCATCTTCATCCATTAATGGGAAAATTTTAAAGATTAAAATAAAATTTTGGTTACGTTATGAAAAGTTTATGTATGATTTAATTCTTTTAGGTGTGTCGTGACACTAAGCTAAGAAGGGGGGGGGGTTAAAGAATTTACGACACTTTGTCTAGAAAGGGTCATTTTTTGCGTGACGTACTTTGCGAACGACCCCATACCGCACAAAGAATTTCCAATAAAAAGATATTTAGTTGTTGTTTTTTTCTTAAATTAAAAATAAATGAAAAGACCCTCAACCAAAGACGAGTTAAATAAAGTTCACTAAAAAATAGAAAAATAATTTTAATGTCTTAAAATGCATTACGCAAAAAGAGATTGCGCAGAAGTTTAGGAGAGCACTATATAAAGCCAAAGAGAGACTGCACAGAAGTGTAATTGAGCACTGTGTAAAGCCAAAGAGAGACAGCACAGAAGTGTAGGTGAGCACTGTGTAAAGCCAAAAAGAGACAGCACAGAAGTGTAGGTGAGCACTGTGTAAAGCCAAAAAGAGACAGCACAGAAGTGTAATTGAGCACTGTGTAAAGCCAAAGAGAGACAGCACAGAAGTGTAGATGAGCACTGTGTAAAGCCAAAAAGAGACAGCACAGAAGTGTAGATGAGCACTATATAAAGCCAAAGAGAGACAGCACAGAAGTGTAGGTGAGCACTGTGTAAAGCCAAAGAGAGACAGCACAGAAGTGTAGGTGAGCACTGTGTAAAGCCAAAAAGAGACAGCACAGAAGTGTAGGTGAGCACTGTGTAAAGCCAAAAAGAGACAGCACAGAAGTGTAGGTGAGCACTGTGTAAAGCCAAAGAGATACAGCACAGAAGTGTAGGAGAGCACTATATAAAGCCAAAGAGAGTCAGCACAGAAGTGTAGGTGAGCACTGTGTAAAGCCAAAGAGATACAGCACAGAAGTGTAGGTGAGCACTGTGTAAAGCCAAAGAGATACAGCACAGAAGTGTAGGTGAGCAATGTGTAAAGCCAAAGAGATACAGCACAGAAGTGTAGGTGAGCACTGTGTAAAGCCAAAGAGATACAGCACAGAAGTGTAGGTGAGCACTGTGTAAAGCCAAAGAGATACAGCACAGAAGTGTAGGAGAGCACTATATAAAGCCAAAGAGATACAGCACAGAAGTGTAGGTGAACACTGTGTAAAGCCAAAGAGATACAGCACAGAAGTGTAGGTGAGCACTGTGTAAAGCCAAAGAGAGACAGCACAGAATTGTAGGTGAGCACTGTGTAAAGCCAAAGGATTCAAACGGAATGTAAACGAAGCTTAAAAATGTCTTATTGTTACTGATTTAAAAAAAAAAAATTCTGCACAGACTTTCTTTGCTGCGTTACGCATTTTAAGACATTTTAAACTATGTTCTATTTTTATAGCGTTTAACTTGTCTTTGATAATGATTAAAAGTATTACTTATAAGTATTTTTTAAGTTGTTAAAATATTTTTAAAAAAATTTAATTTGAAAAAAAGAAAGACAAACTCTAACTCTGAGCTCACCCACCCAACCCCGTTCACTGAACCGCGAAGTGTTTGAGGTCAACCACGAGAATTTGAGCGACAGTGTCCACCTGCCCTCCGTCGACCCAGGAGGAGATGCGATGTTTACGCTACTCAATGAAAACGAGATGATTAACACCTTGCAGGTGACCACTTTAAAGAGAAATGCACCAACTGAGCGAAATTCCACGTGTGTAAACAAAAACAAAAAAACGAACAAACAAAAAAACAAAAAACACCCCTCCATCTTACATCAACCGCCCCCCCTCCCACCCCATGGAAATGCAAGTAGTTGTAGTAATACAGGTTTTTTTATTTAAAGAGATTGAACTTCCAAGAGTTAATATTGTAAAAAAGAAAGGGCCACCATTTCCCATGATAACATAGCGTTGTGTTCACGAAGATTCTGACTAGTGAAAATAATCTGCAGACATTAAATGTGACATTATTGGGCTTGATGGTTCAAAAGAGGAGTAGAGCTAATATTCGGACATGGGCTAATCCATCAAACCAGGGGAAACTTTTTCACAACTTACTATACAATACTCACACAAAATAAATTGTCTTTGTCTTTCAAGACAAAAAAATAAATAAATAAACATTGGCCAGTATGGGGATCGAACCCACGACATTCGCGTTATTAACACGACGCTCTAACCTACTGAGCTAACCGGCCTTCATGACGGAATTATCGCACACTTTGGGTGCCGCACGGGTTGGGAGGGAGTTGGGGAATATGAAATTGATTAGGGTAGGGTGGTTTAATTTCTAGGATGCAGTGTTAGGCTGATGGGGCGTGGGGGCAAATTCATTGGGAAAAGAATCTACTAGCTATTCGGTGTACAATCAGTCGAAGGTGTCCCGTCAGTCGAAGGTGTCCCGTCAGTCGAAGGGGTCCCATCAGTCGAAGGTGAGTAGGGGACCTGTACCGCAAGGTAGGGGGTAACGCACGGAATCTGCGTTAAGACGAGCACGACTGCATGGCTTCCCACTAAGTGCAGTCGAATTATTTACTAAACGCAGAAACAGGTTGGGACATGATTACAGTTGCCGTATGGATATGAGGTGAAGGTGTGTGGCAACCCTTCACAGATGATTCTATATATGCAGTCTTGAGGGTACTGCTCCCAGGCAACCTCTCTCTCCCATCTACGGTGTGAATTAGTCGCGCCGTAGAATAACCATACAAACCCTAGTAGAGGGCGTCGGTCCAAACAACTACGCGGTCCCCCCGGGGTGGTAAGGGGGGACTTTAGAGACGTTAAATATCCACCCCAAACCCCTAGAAAGTCCGGCCCGGTTCCTGCGTAAGCAGAAGTCCGGCTGGCCAGGTGTTTCTTCTCTGGGGCTGCCACGCTCAGCGGCCAATCGAGTGGAGGTCGGGCGTGGCGGTTTTAGGGGCGGAATGTCCCTGGCGTGCCGCTTCGCGGCCCGATCGGAATAAAGACCACTGGGGGAGTGGTTGATGGCTGGTTTGGCTGGCGGGGTGGTGCGTTGGGGGGGACCATAGTGTTGAGACCCGCTGGTCCTCACCTTTGTGAGACCCGCTGGCTCCACTCTCTCCATCGCTTCCCCACGCGTTCATCGCTACCCCACGCGATATGACACAATTAGGCTGGGCCTTAAAATAATACAAGTAGACTCAAATAACAATGGAAATTAACTTATTCACTTTGGCCATGACCCAGTTTAAGCAATACACTCATTCTTGTCAAGCGTCCCAACTCTGAGTTATCACTCTGATGACCAACGCTAAAAAAAACTAACTCGGAATCCGAAGCCACGCTTGTGAGTCATTTAAACACGACTCTGGGATGCCACGCTTAAATGCGGGACAAGCACGCCAAACTTAGAGTATATATTGAAAGCCCAAATCATGTATCGGCCTCTCTTACCTGAATTATATAGTGACTATTGTTAATGTTTGAATATGATAACTATTAATAATTTATAATGTGATGTGATTTGTAATTCTTAGCTATGTCTTATGCATTGTATTTATTATTCTCATTTCTAGCCAGTTAAGTAAAGTATAGTTACGTAAAGTGAAGTAAACTGAAGTTACGTAAAGTGAAGTAAAGTGAAGTAAATTACAGTTAAGTAAATTGAAGTAAAGTAAAGTAAATTACATGAAGTAAATTACAAGAATTAAGTTTCAGTAAGTAACATTTGGCCAGTGAAGACTATGTGACCAGAAAGTTTTTGTAAAGTAAATAACATTCGGTCAGAGTTGTAGTAGTTCAATAACTAATAACTGGAACTAAAGTTAGTACAGTTCAGTTAGAGGAAGCGCAGTTATTAGCAGAAGGGAAGTCCAAGGAATCAAACAATACGGTAGCATATACTGTGTGTGTGTGTGTTACCCACAGTACAGTTCAGAGTCGGCACCTACCTCCTCGCAGTGCCAGTGACCGGAGACACTTACGCAGTCAAGCCGCCCAACCCCGCAGTACGTTGTGACCCGAGCAGAGGGCTGCTGTGGTGTGTGTGTGTGGGACTTACTTATTCGACCAGATCGCCATTGAGAGCCTACTATGCAATAATATTGGGCAGTATCTTGTTATCCTGTTTATGTGTATAGTATATGTAATTTGTATGCTGATAGTTCTGTTTTCTTATAATTAAATATTTATTTGTGGGCTGAACCACTCTTGTTTTATTAGTATAGTTAAAGTATTACTAGAATTGCAAGTGAGAGC